CTGTAGTCCTTGCTACTGGGGAGGCTGAGATAGGAGAATCACTTGAATCCAGAGGGATGCAGGTTGCAGTGAGTTGAGATCATGCCACTGCACTCTAGCCTGGGCAACAGAGTGAGTGAGATTTCTGTCAGAAAACAAATAGATTGATAGATTGTAAAGTACAAGATGGTAGTAGAAAGACAGGTAAAATGATGCTGTTATAGGAAAAACACTTTGTATCCTATATAAAAAGAAGTAAAGACTTTGGTTGGGGTTGAAGTTAAGATGTGTTTTATTGTCCTATTAAACTGTTTGACTATGAGATGTGTCAGGTATATGTTGGGCATCTGGATTTCAGACAAGAGAGAGAATCTCTTTGCCTAGTTTTATAATTGCTCCTTGGAGGACCATTTATTGTCTGATCCTCCAATAATCTGCCCTTTCGAATTGTTCTTTTCTATGTTAATTTGTTCTTGGTTCAAGGGGCATCAGCAGGTTCATTACCTGTTTTAACCAGTTCTCAAATGGGGGTAGGATAGCGTGAAAACATAGCAGGGCTTGAACAAAGATACTTTGTCCCAAATTCCAACACGCTCCTGAGGTTGATTGCTGCAGTCACACAACCAATGTTCAAGTCTTACTGTATGTAACTCTCTTTGAAATGTGACTTTTCTACTCATCTTACAAAAAGGCTGAATCTATTTCTCTAACCTTTATTTTAATTTTTAGAGTTGAACTTACAGCAAACAATAATTTTCTACCCTTTGAATCTGGATTGGCTTATGTGACATGCATTGATAAATGTGACACAAGCAGAGGCTTAGAATAAGCTTGCACATTGGGTTTTGCTCTCTCTTGTTTCTGGGAAGCCTCCTGCTAGCATGTGATCAAGTCTAGGCTAGCTGATTGGAGGATAAGAGAGTGGCTGGAGTGAGATTCCAGTTGTCCCTCCCTTCCCAGTTGCTCCTGCCTTCCCAGATACGACCCTAGACAAGTGAATGAGGCCACCCTAGACCATTCAGCCATAACCAAGTAAGTCCAGATCAGAAAAGCCATCAGCCAACCATAGAACAGGGAGAAATAGAAATCATTTGCTTATTTTAGTCCGCTAAGTTATAGGGTGACTTGTTACATGGGAGAAGCTAACTAATATATTATCTTATTAGCCATGATGACAAAGAAAATAGTTCTACCAAGAACATAAGAAAAAAATGGTGATTGTAGTTCAGAATTAATTTAACCTCGAGCTTCCTGGTAGCCAGGGAATTAAAAGCAGGATTGAGTTATAGAGTTGTCATTGTTTGAGAAAATAAATGTATAAATTCTCAAGAGGTGACAAACATTTTACTGGTTAAAAAATATAAAGGATATATCAATACTGAAGACACAAAATATTCATAAGACAAAGTATCTTGACATGCACCATAAAAGAGAAAACCCTTTATACGACTTTCTTACATTAATCGTCAACATGTCATGATGGTTCAATAAGCTATAAAAAATCAGCTTGTTAAACTATAAAGGAAGGAATGTTTAACATGTTTATTAAAATAACTGGATTTTGTTTTATACACACTTTTGGAAAAAGCTGCATATGAAGGTAAATCTTTAGATCTCGAAGGATTTTATTTTTTTAACTTGTTATTCTTTTGTAATATAATCACTCTGTATTAATTTAAATAAACTCACTTTGAATGAAATGGGAGTTTGATTAGGTTATTTCAATATTTTAAACTTAAAAGGTTATATATCTATAGAATCCAGAGTAATATGAATATATTTATTATTAAATATTCACCACATGAATGAGATTTGAATTTTAAAGTTCAGCTTTGATGGTGTTAAATTATCAATTTCTCACATGTTCTTGATCTATGCCAATAATATATATTATTTATTGAACCCCAACTATGAGCCATGTACTTTGCTAAGTGCTTTACATGTATTAGTTTAGTAAATTTTTTAATCTGTTCTGGAAGGTAGATATTATACGTTTTTCCTATCCTGGGCCCTTCACTGGTCCATCTGACATGTGTAAGCTTCCACTGAAAAAGCATAAATAGTCTTAAATCAATGAGGAAAGTTTTGGAAAATGAACTACTTAAACACAAATCAAATTACAGTCATAAGTCACTTAGCAATAGGGATACAGTCTTAGAAATGCATTGTTAGGTGATTTAATAATTGTGTGAACATCACAGAGTATACTTATGCAACCATAGATTGTATAGCCTATTACACACCTAGGCTATATGATACAGCCTATTGCTTTTTGGCTATAAACCTATATAGCATGTTATTGTATTAAATACTGTAGGCAGCTGTAACAAAATGATAAGCATTTGTTTATCTAAACAAATCAAAACATAGAAAAAGTAGAGTAAAAATATGATATAAAAGAAAAAATGGTACACCTGTGTAGGGTACTTACCACAAATGGAGCTTACAGGACTGGTAGTTTCTCTAGGTAAGTCAGTGAGTGAGTGGTGGTAAATGTGAAGGTCGAGAATATCACCAGGTACTACCATAGACTTTATGAACACTGTACACTCAGGCTACACTAAGTTTATAAAAAACTTTTTGTTCTTCATTAATAAATTCATCTTAGCTTACTGTAACTATTTTACTTTATAAAGTTTTTTTAACTTTTTGACTCTTCCATAATAACACTTACCTTAAATTAAAAAAAAAAAAAAACATTGGACAGCCTTACAAGAATATTTTCTTTCTTTATATCTTTATTCTGTGAGCTTTTTCTGTTTTTATTTTTATTTTTATTTTATTTTATTTTATTTTTTTTTGAGACGGAGTCTCGCTCTTGTTACCCAGGCTGGAGTGCAATGGCGTAATCTCGACTCACCACAACCTCCGCCTCCTGGGTTCAGGCAATTCTCCTGCCTCAGCCTCCTGAGTTGCTGGGATTACAGGCACGCGCCACCATGCCCAGCTGATTTTTTGTATTCTTAGTAGAGATGGGGTTTCACCATGTTGACCAGGATGGTCTCGATCTCTTGACCTCGTGATCCACCCGTCTTGGCCTCCCAAAGTGCTGGGATTACAGGCGTGAGCCACTGCACCCGGCCTTCTATTTTTAAAATATTTTATTTTTTTAATTGTTAAGCTTCTTGTTTAAAACTGAGACACAAACACACACAATAGTCTAGGCCTACACAGGGTCAAGATTATCAATATTATTGTCTTCCACCTTCTCATCTTGTCTCAATTTTTTTTTCGCACCTGTGATGGAATCTCGCTCCGTTGCCCAGGCTGGAGTGCAGTCGCATGATCTCTGCTCATTGCAATCTCTGCCTCCTGGTTCAAGTGATTCTCCTGCCTCAGCCTCCTGAGTAGTTGGGATTACAGGTGCACACCACAATGTCTGGCTAATTTTTATGTTTTTAGGTAGAGACAGGGTGTTGCCATGTTGTTCAGGCTGGTCTGGAACTCCTGGACCCAATTGATCTACCCACGTCTTCCTCCCAAAGTACTGGGATTACGGCATGAGCCACCATGCCCAGCCCCAGTAGGAGGCCTTTAGGGCTAATAACATGCATGGAGCTGTCATGTCTATGATAGCAATGCCCTCTTTAGGAATATCTCCAAGAATGTGCTTGAGGCTGCTTCACAGTATGTTTCTTAAAAGTAGAAAGAGGCCGGGCGCGGTGGCTCAAGCCTGTAATCCCAGCACTTTGGGAGGCCGAGGCGGGTGGATCACGAGGTCAAGAGATCGAGACCATCCTGGTCAACATGGTGAAACCCCGTCTCTACTAAAAAAAAAAATAAAAAAATTAGCTGGGCATGGTGGTGCGTGCCTGTAATCCCAGCTACTCAGGAGGCTGAGGCAGGAGAATTGCCTGAACCCAGGAGGCGGAGGTTGCGGTGAGCCGAGATCGCGGTGAGCCGAGATCACGCCATTGCACTCCAGCCTGGATAACATGAGTGAAACTCCGTCTCAAAAAAAAAAGTAGAAAGAGTACACTCTAAAACAATGATTAAACAGTATAGTAAAGTACATAAACTAGTAACATAGTCACTTATCGTCATTATCAAGTATCATTTACTGTACATAATTATATGTCCTATATTTTTGTTTGACGGGCAATGCAGTAGGTTTGTTTACCACCATCACCACAATCATCTGAGTCATGCATTGTGCTACAACATTATGACAGGTGATAGGAATTTTTCAGCTCCATTGTATCTTATGGGACCACTGTCACATAGCCGTTTGTCACTGACCAAAAGATCTTTTTGTGACACATGATTGTATATCCTTATCTGAAATGTTATACTAAAATAAATTTGAGAATGATTTAATCAAGTGGTGACATGGGCCTGTAGTCCTAGCTACTCTGGAGGCTGGAGTGGGAGGATTGCTTGAACCCAGGAGTTCAAGGCTGCAGTGAGCCATGATTGTGCCACTACACTCCAGCATGGGTGCCAGAGCAAGACTCTGAAAAAAGAAAGAAAAGGAAAAGGAAACAGAAGAGAAAGGAAAATAGAAGAAAATAGAGAAGAAAGAAAGAAAACTAAGAGAGAGAAAGAAAGAATTAAAGGAAGGAAGGAAGGAAGGAAAAAGAAGGAAAGAAAGAAAGAGAGAAAGAAAGAAAGAAGAAAGAAAGAAAGAAAGAAAGAAGAAAGAAAGAAAAAAAAGAAAGAAAGAAAAGAAAGAGAGAGAGGGGGGAGGGAGGGAAGGAGAGAGGGAGGGTTGGTTAAATGTTAAGCCAGGCATGGTGACATGTGCCTGTAGTCCCAGCTACTTGGAGGGAAAGCTGAGGCAGAAGAATTTGAGCCCATTCTTTGTAGAGTCCAGCCTGGGCAACATCTTGAGACCACAGAGCCTATCTCAAAAAAATGAAAAGAATTAAATGTAAAATTAAGTGATAAAAGTTAGAATTATCCATGATAAAGAAGACTTCTTACATCACACAAGCAATTAAGAAAGTTACAAAGGATAATATCATTAGAAAAATAGTTGAATATACACTAATGAAATAATGCTTATGATTTCTTTCCCACAGGAGTATGAGCATTACTGGACAGAGTTGAGAGGAACTACACTTTTCTTTTATTCCGACAAAAAAAGTACAATAGTAAGTAAAGATGTTCAGTTAATTCCATTGTTTCCCAATATGCCCTTATCACATAGAATATTATTCATTTTGGATTTTCTGCCATCCAAGAATAAAGATGCTCTGGTAAAATCAGTTCAAACAAAAATGTTTAAATCTGTGGGGGCTGTCAATGATTACAGGAACAATGAAAAATTTTCCTGGACAATTCAGAAGAAGATATTGACTCATTTCTTTTTTTTTTTTTTTTTTTTTTTGAGACAGAGTTTC